GTCCTACGTTGTAGCTGACTGACTGACTGACTGCGACAGACTGTAAGTTGGATTGAAATAGGATCTAGATTTTCTAAAATCATTTCTAATTTTCTACTACTTATAAAAAGAAACATTATGGATAATAATTCTGATATCTCAACCTGGTTAACCTCTCTAGGGTTAACATAAATGAATTATTGTCGTACAGGAATACACTAATTAGATTATTTAACGGTAACATGTTTCGTTTTTATGTTTGATTTGTGATAAATTTGAATCTATTACAAGACGTATTCATAAACGTTTGACAATTCAAGAAAATTCCACTACATTGCCGAGGTATCCATTTTGCGAATTACTACCTTCAAACTTTAGCACAGGATTGAAAAATAGGTCCCGATTATCATACAGTTAGTGTTCTCTTATGTTACTAAGTTACTCAAAAATCGCAATGATGGAAACAACTTCATGGGATATGTTGGTAGAATCTAAAGTAGACCAATCTTTCTATTCTGCCAATATATATAGAATTATACGAACAAGTAGTGCTAACATGAAAAGGGTACATGTCTACCATCAATTTCTCAAAAAGACGCGTTATTTTTTTTACATGATAACCAGATTGACGTATGATATCCTCTGGTTTGATCTTCTGCTGACCAATAATGAATCATCTTTTCTTGGAATCAAAGAAAGGAAAAATCGATTTTCTACAAACGGTTGTTTGTTCTATGATTTTTGCCTTGATTCTTCAAGATTTACCAAAATGTGTAACTAAAAACAAAATCCAGGCACTCAACTAAGGCAACACATATTACAATAAAGCCCATTTAATTGAAATCCTTATTAATCACAAGTGAAAAACTTAAATCATTGAATACATAAATCTATACTCGTTGAATAAGTTAGTAACTATATGAATTTAGTAGGCTCAGTGGAAAATGCGTTGGTTTTTTAAGCGGAAAATAGTGGATTCAAGTCTCTGTGTACAAATCAATAAATCAAGTTTTAAACAGGACAAAACATAAATACTCGATCCTGTTGTTATTCACCAATCTAGCTGGAGTAAGTCGTATACGTATCAGGCCATTTTTACTTACATACACATACAGCCCATCACTTTATGATTGGATTAAAAAGCATGTCAAATAAATATGTCATTGTAATCCAATTAATTTCTTCACTTTATATCTGAAACAATTAATCAGCTCTGGTGTATAGTATTATTAAGATACGACTATATGTATGCCTGGTGCTTATGTCTATCTACTGTCTTGTTGTAAATATATTCAGTCACTCATTTGTGACTCGTAAATATATTCGTATTTACGTTCAAATATGCTCTTCCTTCAACGAGCCTGAATGATATATGCTTGATCTGTTAAACTCAAAAGCCAGTCAAATCCAATTTAATTTCATGCGTAGCGTTTTGAATATCTCAAGTGGAAATAAATCTATGGATTTGACCTAAGCAAACTAGAGCTATTTATAGTCGAAATAAAAAAAAAGATTAATAAAGGTAAACATCCATCAGTGCTTACAAAAAGCTTGTGAATTAAGGCAATATCGAGGCATACACACAGTGTACACATATGCCAATAACAGAGTGATCAATTGCAGTTTTGAACCTCAATGGGAAGATACTAGCCAAAACAATACCAAGTGAATTTAAATTCACCCCATTGCACAAGCAAGTGGCTATCAAGACTCAGTAGCTGAGTGGATAACGCGATGGCGTTTGAAGCGAATCGTACTGGGTTCCAGTCCCAGCGTGAACATCAACTCTGGGATGTAGGTACATCCAGCTGACGAGTCCCACGTAGGACGAAGCGCGCGTTCTGGATTCCACTGCTAGCCACTATCCATCATTGCTTACAAAAAGGTAAACCTTTTGTTTAGAACTACCAAATATTTTGTTTCCCAAGTTGTTTTTATATTAAATGATTACAGTATACAGATAAATTCCAAAATATCGATGACTCATTCATGAAAGTGACTAAGTATCAATAAAAATACTCTAAGTAATCGTACAGAAACATCGTTCATTTTGTTAAGCTGATATAAATAAAATTAATTACAGATTTCTGACGAAAATGCAAGTCAAATCTCTTATTTTTGTTGTTGAAATTCTAAATTGTAAGATATCGAAAAGAAGGTGATAAATTGTGTGAGCTGAATAAGAGATTAACAATTCTACATATATACTGAAGCATTATCAGATTTAACTAGATATGGTTTGTAGTGTTGGTTGCTTTGTGTGACGATAGACCACAGGTGAACTCGAGGAAGCTGTAGGAGGCTCAGAAGGAACCGAAGATATTCCGTCCAATCACCTTTTGGAAGAATATTCTAGAATTCCTACCTGTAGCTTCCTGATTGCACACCGCTAATAACCCTCTGTATGCGGATTGAAGGACTGTAATGATGACTTCGTCCTTACTAAAAACTATAAATACCTGATAATTTTGAACTATAATTGAAACTGTCTGGGAATAATATTCCTTTCATTAATCTTCTGTCTTCTCATTGCGACTTGAAAGGGTTCTGACGTTCTAGTGCTCACGTTTTACGCGCTATATCAAGAACAACCTTCAAGATATAACGCTATGTTAAGCCCGTATAACTTATTCTAGCTTCTGAACAGGCCAATTTATTTATTCATTCACGTTATGACCTTGTTGATCATTCGTTTATCAACCTTGACTGTTTTTATATGAGTGTATGTATGTGTACACTTCTTATTCCATTCATCACAAATCTGTAACTTATTTTTGTGTGACTATAAACATGGTTAAATGGAGTTGACTCACATGCCTTCTCCACTGACCGTTATTTCGCTTCGCTCTCTTCTCTTCGCTTCTCCGATATTTTGCCTGGATCAAAGATTGTATGAAATATACGTATTCAAAATTCTCTCTCATATTTGACTTATTTAATTTTGTTATTGACTAACGCGATTTAAGTCGATGATTACATACGAGGAATAGGCGACATATCTATTTCAATAACAATCATTCATACAATCTACTTGGAATCAGATCCTGGTCCACTAAATATACAAGGGAAGCTAGTTTAGTTGAATGACAATTTTAAAGTACACTGATACAATCTTGAGATTTTTTCCCATACTTATTGTTCTCAAGAAATCATCGGTTTAACAAGCTAAACGAAAGAAACATTGTTTTCATATTTTTCACAGATCTACACAGAAATTGATAAAAGTAGTAAGGAAATTGAACTGGAGAAAAAAGAAAGTGATTATTAGTTGTAACGAAATCAAATTTTCCTCAAGATATTCGAAATACTCACCGAAAACTCTGAAGTTTCCAAGTGATTATAGAGCTTCCGGATTTCTGGTCCAAAATTCTACGAAACAATGTGTTCTTAAACACTTACATTTAAATAAATAATAAACGTGTAGTCACTTAAGATTAGCTGTGTTTAAGCTACTCGAAATTCTAGTGAAGAGCTGTGACCTATAAGGTGTTAACCATTTTAAGACTGAAGTAATTAAACCACGATAACATTGTCCATTGGTTCTAATCTATTTAGAGTTGACTAAAATTGTCAATGAGGATCATTGGTGTAAAGATATGGTACTATCATATTAACCTAAGGGTTCTAGGTGAAATGAATAGATTACATTGCTAAAGGGTCTTAGGCTAGGATAAAACTAATGTTCAATAATATTTGATTTCCGATAACTTTCCATTTGATACTATTTATTAGTGAAAACGGTTTTCAAACTAAGCAATTCTTTATCTAAACATATGTAGATAAATCTCATATACTGTCGGAATTATACTTTCATTGTCTCATTTCGGTTTGATTACTCAAAGGTTTCTTCAAACTTACTTCTATTTTAATAGTTGAATTTGTGAGTCAATTAAAGTTAAACCAACATGGAAAACATCGAAGAACAGGACGGCCGTGTTGTCGTAGTATAGGACTCCTCAGCAGTGCACATTTACGATCCCGCCCCCCGCGAGATTCGAACCCAGGACCCATTAGTCTGATGCGTGAACGTTTAACCATATCTTTCAGACTTGATATTAATCTCTTTTAAATTTAATTATAAAGATAATATGTTCTGATAATATGTTTTGATAGATACTTATGAAAGATTACCAACTTTGCTATTCTTTTAAAAATTATACTGAGCCGTCTTCCAATATATAGATAAACCTTATATACTGTTAGAATTACTATACTTCGACTGTAAATCGATGTTTTATCTCGATTTCGTTACTCAAAGCTTTTTTTACCAACTTACATTTATTTCATTTAATATTACACTTTGAATTAATTTGATGTTTCAAATCATACAACACAAGTCTAAACTATTTCAGTCGATGAAAATTCATAGTTTTTATTTCATATTTATTCAATGTTTAATTTTATTATTAAAATCCTTCATAATTGAATTAATAAATAATTTCATAATTCGTTACAATTAAAAATGAATAGCTTTCCACTTATGGAAATACATTTCTGTTGTTGTTGTTGTGGTGGTGGTGGTGGACAAAATTCACCAATAAAATTCAGCTAAATTAATATATATTTTGTAACTATGTGTAAATAATCCACCCTGTTTATATTTATTTATTTATTTACAATCTATGTACAATGTTTTATTTATTTATTGCATCATTCAAAATGTTTACTTCTACAAGTGAATAAGAATAAATTAAAATGATTCAATAGGTTTGTGTAAATAATAAAGAATTTATAAATAGTGAAAGACGGATTACATCATACATGAATTGCATGTATTCACCTTTCATTAAATATTTCCTATTTATTTCTTATTGTTTTATCAATTATTCAATATTTTTATAAAACAAAAAGAAAAACAAAAAGAAAAAAATAGAAAAACCGAAAAAAAAGAGAAGAAAATCATCAACTGAAATCAATACAAAATAATAATAAATTTAAAAAAAAAAATGAGAAAATTTTGGATAAAACATCATCAAACCATTTCAATCAATCTTATTATATTTTGTTTTTTAATATTTAAAATGTCCGAATCCTTATTACAATATGGTAATCGTATTCATATTTATACTAATGTATGTCAATTTATAATCAATCAATTAAATATAACATTTGATCAATTATGTCAATTTCATTATAATCATAATAATCATAATAATAATAATCAACAATATGAATTGGTTAATACTGATCTATTTGTTGATAAGAATACATCTAATATAATAAATAATCATTATAATATAAGTAATAAAATACAAATACAAAATAGAATGAATTATATAAGATTTATTCAATCAAATTTATATACTACTATACAAATGAATATACAAAAATTATCTGGATGGTATTTATTAATTTATCGTCTTTTAACTAATATACCATCTATATTAATATGTTTTATTTATGGTTTATTATTAAATAAAATCAAACAAAATTATATTATGATTATACCATGTATAGGATGTATTCTAACATGTATCTTATTAATAATTAATTTATTATTAAATTTTAAATTCAATAAAAATTCAATAATATTCATATTAATTAGTGGTATAATCTATGGATTATTTGGTAAAAGTAATGCAATTAATTTATGTGTATATAGTTATATAACAGAAAATAGTCAAAAAAATAAACGTACAAATATAATAGGACGTTTATTAGGAATAAATTTTTTTGGTTTAGCTATTGGTACATTATTACTTGGGATATTTTATCGATTTTTAAGTTATTTTGAAATAATTATATTTGTTATGATTGGTAATTTATTAATTATAATTATTTTATTATTTTTGATAAAAAATTCGAAAAAATCTTTGTTCAATTCTTCATCTTCATCATCATCATCATCACCATCAACAACAACAACAACACAATCAGTAGAAGTAATGATGAATCAATCTGATGAATCACATGTTGAACAAAGGGATTTCAATGATAACCTTACTGCTATTACAAATTCATGTACATACAAAGAACATAAAACATTTTGTCAAAATATAATTTCTTATTTATTAAAACCTTTATTGATATTAAAATCTTCTTATCAATTTCTATTTCCTAAACGTACTAATAATAATAATAATAATAATAATAATAATAATAATAATAATAAACATATTTATATATTAATCTTATTCAGTACAATATTATTAAAACAAATCACTAAATCTGGTGAACAAGATGTAACTTTATTATATTTAATGAATCAATCAAATTTATTATGGAATACTGAATTATATACTTATTATATAACATGTTATTATAGTTTAATGTTTATACAATTAATTATATTATTACCAATTATAGAAAATAAATTTTTAATACGTGATACAACATTAATTATTATTGGTTTATTTACTGAAATGATACGTTTATTAATTTTAAGTTTATTACATTATAAAATATTGATTTTTTTAAGTGTTATAATTGGTTCACCAGCATGTTATATAACAACTTGTACAAAATCATTAATAAGTAAATTAGTAATATATAATCATGAATTAAATATAAGTTTAACAATTATATCTATAATAGAAATTATAGCTAATTTTATTGGTGGATTCTTATTTATATTTATATATAATAAAACTTTATTATATTATTCATCATTTATATTTATATTTGATGTAATATTAAATATACCAGTTCTTATTATATTTATATGGTTAAGATATAAATTAATTGAATATGAATTAAATACAAATTAAATTATTACGTAATTGTTTTTTATTACATAATATTATAATTGTAATCATCACAACAGAAAAGGGAATAATAGAAAGTGAATGAAAGTTAGTCACATTGATTACATCATCATCATTACCATCAGCAGCAGCAGCAGCATCCTCTTACCGTTCTCTTGATCTGATGAAATCAACCCATTTGAATTATTCAACTGATTCTTTTCATTTATAATAGAAAATGATCTATCTGGAAAATTATCTTCTTGAGATTTTGGCACAAAATTATCTGTTTGATTAGCATGTTGTAATGTAGTGATAAGACGTTTTTTACCCATTAGTTTATCATTCATTATACCATTATGATCATTTTCATAACTATCCGAATATGAATAATAATCATTTTGATAATAATTCCTAATGTTATTTGTGCCAACTATTGGCTTAACAATATATTGTCGTCTATTCATTAATGATGATATTTGATTGTTATTATTCATTACTGATTGTTTTGATCGATTACTTTTATGATCATTCATATCACTTCTTGTATCAGCGCTAATTGATCTACGTGACTTTGTTCTATGTTGTGATGATTTGATTAATTTTGTTTCGGATGAATGATTCGATGATGTATAACTTGTGACATCATCATCATCATTATCATTATCATAATTCTCAATGATACTTGTAACTAATAGAATTGAAATATTACTTAGTAACTGTACAAATACTTGTCATATTTATAATAATTAACAAAACTTTTAATTATACTTAAATATAATATGATTATATATTATATTCTGCACATTTCTACTTCTTTCTTTGTTTTTCTTTTTTTTCTTTTTGAATTATATACTACTTAATATAATATTGATTTACTATTAGTACAAGTGTATACTTCTTAAAAAATGGTATTGTTTTAATGAACATTTTCTATCTTCTTTTTTCTCTTTCGAAAAAGAACATCTTCATTTTATTTAATATACAATACAATAAGTTTCATACACATAGATCCCATTTATTATCTGTAAGAGAGCAAACAACTTCACTAATCTTCGTTTTTACTCTCTCATTAAAATACAATAGGTTACTTTCTTTATTTTCATCATTCTAAAATAACATTTTATAAAACACTTATATTTAAATCTTATCAATTATGAGTTGTTATTATTAAAATTTGTTTGGTATGATTTAATATTCTTAATTAATTTAAACAAAATTCGTGAATTATAATTATATTCATATAGTATAATCTGTAATAATGATATATTTGAATGATTTCAAACAGTAAAATAAATTATACTGACCAAACTTTATTGTTTTAAATGAATTCGAAACTCACGGGAGGCGGGATCGTGAAGGAGCACTGTTGATGAGTCTCACAATAGGACGAAACAGCCTTCCAATGCTTCCAAGTTTTACATCGTGGTCTAACTTCAATTGACTCATGATCTCAACCATTAAAATTACTATAATATCCACAAAATACCCCCTTTGATATTAATCAACATGCCTTGGGTTCAAATCCTGTGGGGGGTTGGGTCGTGTAGGGGTAATGCTGATGAGTCTCACCCTAGTGCGACACGGCCGTCCAATGCTTTCAAGTTTTCCATGTTGGTTTAGCTTTAACTGACCCATGACCTCAACCATTGAAATTTAACGAACTTTCAATTTCGAATATTATTATAGTCAACCTGTTTATGGTACACATAGAATGGATTATCTTCACCAATGAAATTAAACCACGAATTTGGCTTAGATATGTGGATGATAATTTTTTATGGAAAAAGGAAAAACTTATTTAATATCTTTTTCGAGACGGCCTAATACACTTTCGTAGCACATCAAACTTACAAACGAGAATGAAATTGAACATGGTGAGTTACTGTTTTTAGATTACTTAGAGAAAAGAAATCTAAATGGAATTCTAAATCTATCCACCTATCGAAAACCTACACATTCAAACCTTGACCGATATGGTATTAATTTGTTCAGATCTGTTTTTTGATTGATCATACATAATATTCTTGTGTTGTTCCTTTGTACTAATTAAACCTGAATTAATTTTGATTTGATTATTTATTCCCTGAAAGAGTGACTGACACTGAGCCATGAAACGTTGGAAAATTTAGTTGTTGTACTCATTAGGATATTGCAAATATATTAATTTATTTAAAACAATTTACCCAATGCTCAGTTTATTCGAAATTATCAAGTCAAACCTTGGTAATGATACCTATATTGATCAAAGTTCAATGTTTCAAATGTGAATTAAACAAACCTTCAATTTCGAATATTATGATTATTAACAATAAATTAATTTAATATAAATATAAAGATTGATAATAAAATTCAGTACAGAAAGAGAGTATTCACCTGCATTTTATATATTTTTAGTGTTTCAATATATATAATTGTAACATTGAACATGGTACTTCTATGGATGATATTTATGAAAATAATTACGAAGTAAAAGATATAAAAATGAAAATTATGATGGTATATTCAATTGTTTTTTTCGGTTTGAAACGTTGATTAGTCAGATAAGTTGTTCTACTGAAATTATGTATTCTTCTCCATGACCAAACCATCCAGCTCAGAGAACAAAACTCCACCAAAATGTGTCTTCTTTGTTCATTGTATTGTCTACTTGTAGTGTTGTATATTACTGAAATTTTCTTTTTGAAATTTCTTCAAGGTATTCTTATTCATTCTTTCTCATTCGCTGTTTGATTTAATATTAACTTTTTGGTTGAGATCATGAACTGATTGATGTTAGACTACCATTGGAAACCTGGAAGCATTGGACGGCCGTTTCGTCCTATTGTGGGACTCCTTAGCGGTGCGCATCCACCATCCCGCTCGTGGGATTCCAATCCAGGATCTCCAGTCTCGCGCGCAAACGTTTAATCCATAGACCACTGAGTCAGCATTCAACGTGGTGATATCTCACTTCAACCAGTCCGCGAAATTTTGCGTCCATCTCCCATTGTAGGTAGGTAGATACCTTTCTCTACCCGATACGGATTAGCTCCACAGGTCACGGCTTCTCATTAGAACACCGAGAGGTAAAGCGTCGCTCGCGAGACTGAAGATCCTGGGTTCAAATCCAGCTATCGGGATCGCGGATGCGGATTGCTGAGGAGTCCCATAATGGGACGAAACGGCCGTCCAATGCTTCCGGGCCATCTATAGTGGTCTAAGATCGATGGGTTCATGATCTCAATTGAAGGCTTAATAATCGCCACAACCCTATACTGTTAATCTTAATTAATAGTTGAATATTACCGAACACTGTACACTCGAATTGGTTAAGGAGTTTTCGTTATTAATTCGTAAAATTCTATTTCTTTGTTTACTTATCTAATACTCTGTGAGATATTGAATTCAAACAAGAAAAACAATTTGAATACTTTCAATGTTTCGCATACACTACTCGATTACAGGGTATTGATTACTTCAGTTGCATGTTGTAGAGAAACTAACCTTCATAATTTAACTAGCTTAACTCATAATCTATAAACATTCAGTAACTATGCATACCATTTAATACATTAGTTTGAATCCATACAACAAGCTGAAATGTACTGCGTTTAAGCAATTAAATTCACTAATTTTTTTCGGCATTACTCATCGAATCCAGTTGCACACATTGTTGTATTTTGTCTTTTTCACATTAATAAATTCTTTTGTGATAAATTCTTAATTAAAACAGTTTATCAATCAAGTCTTTTCAAGTAATGTACCCTTATTTTCTTAAGTGTCATATTCCTTTTTTTTCATTGAAATTCATCGATTTAGAAGATCTTAACTGTTTACTTAAGTAATTCAAAAGTTATCAATTTCAGGCAACTACATTGATGCAACTCATTATCTGTAAAATGTTCAGGAATACAAACAAAACTAATTACTGTTCAGTCTAGTTCTCTCATTGTACTTTATTCATGATTTTCACTGATAGATTAATTTAAGTACTCTTTCTATACTGACTACTAAAATGTTTAAATGATTCGCTACACTATGATGAAAAATGAGATATGATTGAGTGGTTGGTGTAAATTAGTCTCTAATTGAATGAAATCGAATCTTCTCATCATTTGACTATTTGTAAACTCAACTTCAACTCACTTTTTAAACAAATAACATAAGTGTAGATGACATTTTTTTGAATAAAGCAATTTCCACATCACAATAACCAATAAGTGATAAATGTTGTACAAGTAATAATATCACAGATGACATAGAAACGATCACCAATACAAATATCAGTTCGTATAGAACAACAAAATCTAAGCATATACATTTTAGTAGGGTTGGATAATGACTGACATAATATGCTTGTTTTTATTATTTACATAGTTGGAAATGAACTGGTCTACTTGTTTAACTAAGCCATAAAATCTCTTTAAACCTTTCAACTTGATTTAATATATTTGTGAAAATCATTGGATAGAAATCAGTTTTATGCGAAACTTTAGTGCTATTTTTATGTTTTTTCATTGATGCAATGAGAAGAGAAAGTCCATTTGAATAAGTATAAATGATTTATTTGCAATAACACACATACATACTGTACGAAATGTTGATTACATATTTCTTTTGTTTTCCCTTCTCAGAATATATCTCTAAACAGTCTTCTAAGCCTTGTCAACCTCTGAGTTGCATACTTTGTAATCTTATAACAGTGATTCATGTATTCTAATGTACAACGTATGTGTCCAACAATTTCTAGAATAATGCAATTTTATTCTGTATGATGTTCACAAAAAAAATAGGTTGGAATCTGTTCAGCTATGATTTACATATCGAATTCTTGGGAGTGGCAGCAAAATCCGACGTTGCTAGATAGTAGGGTAAACTTTGCTAGCAAACTTAGGCGGTCGACGGAGATCAGACTGATTATCTACTCTGTTGTATCTCTTATCACCTCGGATTCTTTCCCGAGGCTCACCAAATAGCATCGATCCATTTGATATGTTTTCTTATGTACAAGAACTGCAGAAGTCCTTGGGTCTATGTAATTCATGTATATAATTATAGGCGAAGGGTGTGAGTGTGGTGCCATACAAAGAAAATGTCAGCTAAAATATTTCTGCCCTATGTCTAATAAAACCAACGACCTAGTCTATCAGGTTGAAGTCACAATAGAAAGATTTGGTAGCAAATACTAGCGAGAGACGACCGACAAACTCCTTTGAGGGAATGCTTATGCTTATGTGTGGTTCAGGAAGTACTGGGACGGTAGCCATGGTTTGGATGATATGCATGTAATATGTAAGAGACAGTCATCCTAGAAAATATGTTTCCAAGGGAGTTGTGAATATACCTACATGTATGCCATGGGATGAATGAGATAAAATTTGTGTGTTACCGGTGTGCATGTAAATTATATTTGCTTACAGGATAGGTATGTCTGTATGTATACCAAGGAATACTGTGATGAAATTGAGTGTTTTGTTTGATACGGATATAGACTACACTTATCCCGGATAATTAAACTTCAAAATGTCCTTAACTTGCTCTCCTTACGATGCCGCGATACAAGCAAAAACCTGGAGGGTCGCAGTTTCCCACAAAATCATATCCGCATAGTTGGTTTGTGAAAATTGAAAACATGGAATCCATTCCAGAAGAGCCTATGTAAACTTCATCAGACGGAGCTTCATCAACCAATCTGGATGGAATAGCATTCTTGTAAGTGATTATTCATTAAACTACAAATCCAGAAGCATTAAGCGGGACACTATACGAAAGCAGAGATTTCAACTAGATCTAATCTTTTTTCTTCAAAATACTTAATAAATTATCTCTTACAGCGATTATTACAGTCAAGAAACACTTAGTCATACGTTCCCCAACTCCTTATCATCAATGAAATTGTTTCATCATAAATCTTATCTGTATATGAATTACTTTGCTTGTATATTTTTGAAACTCTGGAATAGTTTATCACAATCTGTCAGTGAAATAAAAATCACTGACTTCCTTTTCTTTTATAGCATCGATAGAACAAAACATGCATCCTGGACTCCACTACTAGCCAACATCCATTTCTGCTTAGATTGCTTGTGAATTAAGACAATATCACGGTAATTCGTACAGGATGCACATATACCAATAAAACATTAATCAGTTACAGTTCTAAACATCAATAGTAAGTGTTATATCCCGATGAAAACAATTAATGGTAACTTTTGGGACCCATTTATGAACGAATACTATGTGTACATTTTTATTGTATAATTATTAAATAGCTACTCATATTCGTGTTCTCCTTATTATGAGCCTTATTTTGACCTATGAACTATTATTATACGATCTACCATTCTTGAGTTATGGCCTGTCTATTAATTACTAACTCCCTCATTCACAGCCACATTCGGATAAATCTTGTACAAATGCTGTTTCCTATTTTATGGTACGATGTAGTCTGTTTGGTTGGTATATAAACCCAGTATATTTGAAATACATGATTCATATTGCAGAGGCTGAGATTAGTGTTCTGAACCTAACAGGCTAGGCTATGTGGGGAGCAGAACCGATAAGTACTCTATGTAGTGAACAAGAACACCGATGGGGAAAAATCGAATGTATTTAACATAAAATTACAGGGATTGTTAATAAAATCTAACAATCATAAAGTAAATAGTTAATTTGCAAAATGTGCACCAATTGTCTCAAAATGATTCAAACTTCATTAATCTTGCATTCTCACACAAATTGCATCCTGTCTCAATTCTTTATTGTTCGATTCTCTTGTTTCTTTGCTTTCAGACCTTCAGTTCACGACTAACATCATATACTACTGATGTCAATATAAGTAACACACATCACATTCTAGATTGATCGTACGGATTTTATGCATCATTTGGTCCAATCGATAATTCACTATTATCTAATTGGTTATATCATTACATTATACATTAACAAAGCACACAGGTCACAAATTATAAAAGAAACATTTAAAAATAAACAATACAAAATGAATCTATTCTTTACATTGTTTTCATTTTACATTTCTCTCTCTTTTTTTTCTTCTTCTTCTGCATTGTTCTTTTATATATATCTTATTTTCAATATTATTGATTATTTTGTTCAATATTTGAATTATTTTCAAATAAAATCAATTTAAAACGTAACCATATAAATAAAATCAATATTAAACTATGTAAAAATGCATCTAATATAAAAATAAATGATGACATAATAGTTATTGTATAATTATAAATAAGAGTAAATAATAAACCACCAAATAAATTTGCTATTGTTTCAAATATTGATATTAATGCAAATGATGCACCAATTTCTGTTTTATATATTAATTTACTTATTATAGAACGTGTTGATGATGTTATATAACCAGATGCTGAACCAATTATTGCACCAAAAAATAACCATTCATTATATTTTGTTATATGAAATAATAATAAACGTATTATTTTTAATAATAAACCAATAATAATTAATGTTGTATCATGTAATGAATAAAATTTTTCAATTATTGGTAATATAAAAATTAAATGTATAAACATACAACCATAATAACATGTTATATAATAACTATATAATTGATTAGACCATAATATTGGTTCATTATGTAAATATAATAAAATTATATCTTGTTCACCAGATTTTGTCATTTGATTAAATAATACAGTGAATAATAAAATTAATAATAATTGATGTTTTTCATTAAAATTATTATGAAATAAAAATTGATAAGATTGATTAAATTGTTTAATAATTAATTGAATTAATTCATTAAATGAATTTCTATGATAATGATAATGATAATTGGATAATTTCATTGAATTAGTATAATTTATTGATTTTTCATCATTATTATTAGATTGTATTAATGTAGAATGATCATTTAATATTGGTATATTTTCATTATTATTTGTATCAATTACCATAAATAATAAAATTAATACAATGAAAAAATTATTAATTGTACAAAATATAATTAAATCAGAATAATTAAAAAATGTTAAAAATATACCAAGTAATAATGTACCAATAGATAAACCAAGACAATTAACACCTAATAAACGTCCAAGCATAGATGTACGATTATTAATATGTGTTAAATTAGTTATATAACTATTAGCACCCATTGTTATTGCACTACTTTTACCACATATACCATATATAAATCCACCAATTAATATAAATATAATTGAATAATTAATTAAATTATGATTTAATAATAATAAACTAATAGAAAATAATGTACATGCAATAATTGCACCTAAACATGGTATTAACATTGAAATTTTATAACCATATTTATTAGAATAAATACCATAAATAAAACATGCTATAGTAGCTGGTAAATTTAATAAAATACGATAAATTAATAAATAATATCCAGATAATCTTTGTATATGATTTAATAATAATTGATTTTCTATAGAATCATTATAATTATTAGGATTGATTTCATCAGAACAAATAATTTGTTGTAATTTTGTTGAATTAATTAATGATAAACATATAAGTTTATATATTTCAATACGTGTACCATATTGTAATATTGTTTCTGTTAATTTATATAAAAAAAAACAAAATATAATTAAATGAATAGATTGTTTAAAATGATTATTCCTTTGAATGAATAATGAGAACATTGAATTGAATGTAAAAAAACAAAGAGAGAAATTTGATTTAGTTTTGGTTTTTATTTTCTTCCAAAATTTGTTTTAATTAATTCAAAAAAAAGAAAAAAATATTTAAAAATAATTTCTATTAATTATAAATAACATTATGAGAAGAGAAATTCAGAATTTAAAAGGTTAATCAAATGAAGATATATTTATATAGTTGAATCTATAATAAGAATTTTTTAACCAATCAAATTATTTGTCAGATTATAAGAAGCTGATTGGTTGAAATATTTAAAAACAAAAAAAAAATGTGAACATATAGGATAAAGCGTGAGTTCTGGATTTCACTATTAGCAACTATCCATTTTTGTTTAAAAAAAGCTTGTGATTTAAGGCAATCTTCACAGGATGTACATATACCGACATGAAATTGATCGATTGCAGTCCTAAATAATAAAAAAAAATGCGAAGATAGAAGTAAAACAATACCAAGTGAATTTGAACAAATCATTCTTTGAGATTTGACAATGACATTCATTTTTTTTAATGTTTCTTATTAAGATGGCGCTCAAATTTTGTGAAACTAATGGATCAAATTTAAAAGAAAGTTCTTATAAATGGTTTATAACAATAAGAAACCTTAGAATAATTTTATGTTTAAAGTTGTATCAATAGATAAACAATTTATCTAATGAGTCATAATTGTCCTTAAAATTATTGAAAAACTAAAGATTTTACATTGACGATTGCTAATCGAAAATCTATAACTGGCTGAAAAATCGCTGCCGTATGTTTATACAAAAGGCTTATGAATTAAACCGAAAATAAACGTCGATGACTATTGACTGTCAGCGAAGATTGATCAATTTCACAAAGTTATTCAGTAGCAATATATATTAATTGTAAGGTATAATTAAGAATTCGGAAGATCTATGCATATAGTTCATACAATTCTAATTCATTTTTTCAGTTATGAACGTTAGGTTAACAGGTGGAATTTGATTCTATTTGTAGTTAATACAGTCGTTTTTACTCCAGTTGAAGTGTCTAGCAGTGATATCTACAACATGCGTTTCGTCCTTGTCGGACATCGTCAGCTAGATGCATATGCAACTAACTCAAGATTTTCATCGTTTGAGATTAACTAAGGATATTTCATTGACGATTGCTCATCAAACATCCATTAAGAGTGTTATACATTTTAAACGAGAATGTGAATCATTGTTATTTCTGTTAAAATATCATTACTGCACCTATCATACTTTGACACGTCTAACTGATATTATGAACAAAGATCTAATTGATTGAAATGTCAGTGAATTATTATATTGATTTCTTCTTGTTCAATCATCAATGACATTTAATCGTATTTTAAGAAGTGGTCATATCAATTATATCTGTTGGATGTAGATGGTTAATTTTATGTTTACTCAGTAAATTATTAGTCAATTATGTCAAGTATTACACAGCTAATGTATACAAATCTAACAGTTAACCTGTATAAACCATATAAAAATTAGTTTATTCAGATGTTAATTTTCAGTTTATTTTCAATGTCAAATAAATCCTCATCTAACTGTTTTCCTATTCCTTCGTTTGATCGAGTGATTGAGTCATTTTTTATGTAAACGCGTGACGCGGTTGGAGACAGTTGGTATAAGAGTGCGGTTGTAGTGAGTGATGGATATTGGATGTTGTAAATGTGAGTGGTGTGATTCGATTGTTTGTCTGTTGATTAGAATTGAGTTTGTTCGTGATCGAGTAGTTTAGTTGGGTAAGAGGCTAGTGGAGTTTTTATGATGGGTGTGCGTGAGTGTTGTTGTGTGAGCGTGTTACTATGTGAGAATGTGAGTAGTTGATAAAGTGAATGTGTATGTGAGTGAGTGAGTGAGTGAACGACGGAGTTGTTGAGTGGCAGAGTGAAAATGTGAACATGTGTGAGATGTGTGGTGTTGTGTGTTGATTCGGTGTGAAATGAAAATTGGATACGTACCTTTTTGCATTAGTGTTGTCAGTGGTGTTTGCAGTGTGGTTGATGCCGTGGACTGGAATTCTGTAGTGGGTATTGTAGGTGTGGTGTCGACCAAGTGTAATTTGGATGTGGTTTGGTGAGAGTGAGTTGGTTAGGTAACGTCATTCGTTAGTGGAATCGGAATAGACACTTGTTGAGAAGCCGTGAGAAATGAATGTGTAGAGAGTGTGCCATGTGGAAGACGACATAGAAAAAAGGAGAGGAATTGAGAGTAGTGTGAGGTGTGATGAGAGTGAGTAGATTTGTAATTGAAGAAAACTTGTCTGTCTCTCTCTCTGTGTGAGAAAGACACTGGATAAAGATTGAAGGAAGGGTGTGTGCTACTGATGCACTAAATAATTGGCAGACTGAGTGATTGAGTGATGTATTGAATGTCGTATAAATTGATGGCCTACTGTGTTTGAGACATTGATTTATTGAGTGAAAGATGGAATGTGTAACTGTATGCTCATTCAAAATAATTTCACCAAATTACAACAGAAAGTCATAGATGATGAGATTCTGACATGTCAGGGGTGAAATAGTTATCATCAATGATGATAGATGATTGTCAGAGCATGTCGTAAATTGACCGAAGTTGATGTTGTGAATCCGTGAGTGCCAACTCAAATGTTTAATTTTGACGTCTCTACCATGAGATTATAAAGGTTCTAGATACAATCTTAAGTGGTGATGTGGCAAAAATAAAGGTGAAAATCAATCGTATGACCTTTGCAATATCGATATTGCCCATATCAAAAATATACAAAGAACAATACTAAATTAACTCTACAGACAATGCCATTAATATGGTTAATCTATTTCACAGATTTAAAATAAATAGTATTTATACTAAAAAAAGTTTCAGTGGTTGAGATCATGAGTCAATTGAAGCTAGACTACCATGGGTCGTGGATGATCACTGATGAGGAATCCCACGGCAGGACAAAACAGTTGTTCAGTGCTTCCAGGTTTTCCACGGTGGTCTAGCTTCAATTGTCTCATGATTTCAACCACTGAAATTACTAAAATCTCCACAAAACCTTTTCTGATACTAAAAAGAAAGTGTTTACTATAAATTTATTTTCATTCACACGAGTGAGATACGTTTATTCTGTATATGTGTATGTGAGGAGAAACAAAAACTTTTAACGAAAATTAGTACATATATTTTATATTTTAGCTGGCATCTTTAATAAATGAATGCGAAATAATCCGAGTATTACTCTTTTTACGTGAATAAATTTTTAAGGATAAGGAGTATTTTCTGATACGACTCCTTTAAATTGAGACTCATTTATCCCCTTCTCACAACGTAATTCTAGATATTCAATGGAATCACTACTTTCTTGTTAATAGAAGCAATGCTTTTCCGATTTTCGTAACATTGCAGTTATGGGATCTATTGTGTCTATTTCAGTCAGCGAAATCGATACTATTTCCAAGAAGATACTTTGTTGACATGATATTTAAAACAGCAGAAAAGCCTGTTAAACAATTAACACTTCACATCAATGAAGTATTCTGTATTTTCGTAATCTGAAATAGCCATAAAATAGATAATGTTTTTTTAATTAAAATAAGTACACAGAATGAAAGAGTAAACAGAATAACCGAAAGCATAATCATCCCTACCCTGATTCGTAACCCTAAATATTAGATATCTATTGGTGTCGAGGATCTACTGTCGAAGAATATGTTTACGCAGTGGATGCCTCTATAAATCGTGTGCCATTTCAGATTTCGTTGTGCTCATTTATTTATACAGATAAATAGTGTTTTAGAAATGTAATTGTTTTTGTAACATGCATGAAATTGATAGTATAAAATAATTAGAATTATTCTCCATGTTCATAAAACTTCAGTTTATAGCTGAGTGGAATAAGAAAAAGAGAGGGAAAGAAACCATGACGTAATCGAATATAAGAAATAAGTGAAAATTTTTAATGATAAAATAGGCTAATCAAAGTTCCCAAATGAGATGATCCTATTGTATCATTTTTAAGTCTTCTAATGACAAATACATTTGACTGGTTAAGAAATGGTTTCATTTTCCAAAGAGTTGATATATGTGTACATCAATGAATGCTTATGTATTTTGGCATAGGAAGTTTGTGTATCAATGCCTGACTGGAACACCGTGTGAATAACATTTATGATTAGGGTAGATGCAACGATAAAATCGTTAGTAATCACTGAGAATTAATAGTAAGATATTCATAATACTTACTTACTTACGCCTGTTACTCCCAATGGAGCATAGGCCGCCGACCAGCATTCTCCAACCCACTCTGTCCTGGGCCTCCTTTTCTAATTCCATCCAATTCTTCTTTATCTTTTTCATGTCTATTTCCATTTCTCGGCGTAATGTGTTATTTGGTCTTCCTCTTTTCCTTTGGCCTTGAGGATTCCATGTGAGGGCTTGTCTTGTGACGCAGTTGGGTGCTTTCCTCAATATGTGTCCTATCCACTTCCAGCACTTCTTTCTGATTTCTTCCTCCGCTGGGATCTGGTTTGTTCTCTCCCACAGTACGTTGTTGCTAATAGTGTCCGGCCAACGGATCTGAAGTATTTTGCGTAGACAACTGTTAATAAACACCTGTATCTTCTGGATGATGGCTTTCGTAGTTCTCCAGGTTTCCGCCCCATACAGTAGAACTGTCTTGACATTTGTTTTGAAAATCCTGACCTTGGTGTTGGTTGACAGTTGCTTTGAGTTCTAGATGTTCCTCAATCGTAAATATGCTGCTCTTGATTTGCCGATCCGCGCCTTCACATCTGCATCAGATCCACCATGTTCATCAATGATCCTGACCAAATATGTAAAGGTTTTTACATCTTCCAAATCTTCTCCGTCAAGTGTGATTGTATAAAATATTCATAATAATAATAATAATAACGTTATGATAAAATCCAATAATTTGAATAACCAAATAGTCAAGCACTGATATGTGAATAGCATTAGACTAATAAAGCTAATTAGAATAACCATAAATTTAGAAAAATGAAATTT